TTTTCACTCCTGATAAATCCATTCTCCCCTTCTGAGGTGTTCAAAGCAGCAATGGCGGCCTCACTTATCTGAACTCTCACTTCTAACTTGATTCTGAGAAACGATCCCTAATCGATTGCAATTTACGCCAAAGAGCAGCCTAGTAACAAGATAAAAGGATTTAAAGAGTGAATGATTGGCAAGGCAATAAATCTACTTTGCAGTTAAAGCTAAGCACACGAGAAGGGAGCAAGAAAACACAGTAAACAACAGGTGGCCACAGAGTTGGCACACGCAGGGACAGGCATCATCTCCTCACCCAAGTCTCTACCCACAGAAGGCGCAGGGGAACTGCCGGGGCGGCAGCGGCGGTGCTGCCCATCACTTATCTCACAGGTCGCACAGTACCAGCTTTCATTCCGCAGTTTGCCGATGAGCCCTCTACTGTCCTTTCAAAGCACTACAGCACCAAGTTTGCTGCATAACGAAAGCATCTGACTGGAGTGTAGTTCTCCTGATAGGGTCAGATCTATTTTATTTCTGTAATTTACTCTTAGTATACACTGGGAGTAAAAACCATTTCAAAAATAGCTAGTACTCAGCACCAGACATTTAATTCCAAAAGGCAAGTAAATGCAGTGTCCCATACAAACACTAAAAAAGCTGCACAAGAGTACTTTATGAGATTGTCCCTATAGGGCTCATACACTAGCTAGAGAGACAGAAAGTGGGAAATCACCCCACCCCCCATGGGGGCAATGGCCACGTAGCAATCCCTTCTCCTCTATGGGGATTTTGGGGTCACAGGCACATGCACCCGGCCTGAGTTTAAACTACTGGGCACAGAACTCAAAACACGGCCAACTAACTACATGAGAGACCAGCGACATAACCTTTATGCCATCTTCTGGTCCCACAAAAGGGTACTTTTAAAAGTAATTTATGCAAACACTGAACTTTAGTCAATGATATGCATAATAAGTGCATAGGGAGTATATCCCAAGTTTGCAATTCACTTTTAAACTTAGCAAAAAATAAGACCAATGGCTGTCTAGGTACATGACAGAGTAAATACAACAAAAGAAGACTTGTAGAACCTATGTCTAATGACATCGACAAATTATCTGAGAACTAGCAGCTCCTTACATGCCTTCTTTTCCAGGAACTCCTGCTACCATATGTCCAGTGAGGTTATGTACCACCTGCGTGAGTTCTGAGCAAAGATCTCGTGATGTGTGTCTCAACTGGACCTGCCTCACCTTTCCTCCTAGCCTGTTCTTCACAGCAGGCACAGCACACCAATTGGGGTTCAGTTTTCCCACCTGCAGAGGAGCTTCAAAACGCTGCTGAATACATGTTCTGGCCAAGAAAGAGGAGCACTTGACCTTGGACAGTCAAACGAAAGCTGAGGAGACAGAATATCATTTTTGCTGCTCCTTTCCAGGGATGTAAAATATTTTCAAAATGTTT